ACTATTTTTAAATATATTATGAAGTAAAAATTTATTAACAATATTTCGCTGACCTATTGTGGTCAGCGTCATCAGGTAATAATAAAACGTATAAAAAGAATAAAACATAAAACAAACCGTTTAAAAAGAAGACATTAAAAAGCTTCAAATATAAAAACCAATTAGATAATATAATAATAGTGTCAGTTAAATTTTTGTCAAAATGGGTCCCCAAGTTCTTTTTCTAGCCTAATCTTCGTCATCTCGATTTAGAACACCTTCCCTAATACCTATCTCATATCGAACTTTCGCTTTGTTAATCTCCAGACATTCTCTAATTTTTCGTACTTTCGTATTTCCTGTATTCTTGAACGACTGCCAAGGTCTTAGGATTTAGCCAATCAAAGTTACATGTATATATAGGGGAAAGCGGGGCAACATGGTGAACGTTTGGAAAGCCCTGAGTTAATGCAAAACTATCAATCGTGAAGCAATAATACTTTCTCAGTATGCTTATGCTACTAAAATGATTCATTGCCTGTATGAATTTTTTGTTTGCAGATATAACAATTTGAAATAAATATTTAAATTAAAAACTCATAAATTTGTCATCTAGTCACATGACCGGGGCAAGATGACTTAATATGCAATTTTTGCCTCCAATTTTATAAAATTATAAATACTATCAATAACTCTACTTACAGTAACACAAAATAAACACAAGTCGCAAAAATCTACTTCTAAAGAAGTTAATCTTGAAGGACACCATCCATTATGAGAAACCGAAACTAAGGAATTTTTTTTTAAGCGCAAAAAGTAAACCTACGCGTATAAAATTGCGTAGGTTTACATCTTATACTGCTGATTTAGGTGGGAGGTGTGACGTCATACTGAAATAGCCTGCTGCCGGGGGCTTTTTTTTTTTGCAACACCATCATGAATATTACTCAAACATTACACTACATACTGTTTGCTAAACATATCTTTAACAACATCATAAAATCTACAATATTTTCTGCAGCGTGGTTTTCCAGTGGTGCACAAGCCAAAGTGAAAATTTTTCTATCCCATTCACTTGTTATTACTGAACACTTTACTCCAATAAATGATACTCTTTTTTAATTTTGTCCAGCCATCAAAGAGTAAGGAACTAGGATTTGAGTATTTTACATTCATTACACTCCCAGGAAAAAATTTCTATGGAATTTATATTAATTTCTATAGAAATTACTATAAAACATTATTACTATAGAAAAAAAAGTAGAAAAAAAATTTCTATAAAAATTTCTATAAAAATTAATAGAGATTCTTAAGAAATTCTATAGATATCTATAGAATTTCTATAGACCATATCTTTCAAAAGATTATAGAAATTCTATAGAACTTTTTTCTGGGGTGGTCTTGATTGCTTTGAACATATCAATTAAAGCTCCGCATGTCAATGATGAAGTAGAGTGACTATAACAAAGTTTTTTTCAAAAGGTTTTACAAAACCGGTTAATTCTACTAGGTTCAGCGACAAAATATTGATTCAATTCCAAAGTGCAATGTCACGAGTAATATCAAATTTTACTTTTGACGCAGACCCACTTGCGCTGCACCAATTTCTAATATACTGTTTTTTTTTCTTCGTTAGAGATTTTATCCGTGACAATTTTGTGTACTAAAAATAAATTATTTTTCATGTTTCCACTAGAAGTTAGACGTTTCCTGAATGAATTTTAGACAAGTAAGAAGACTTGTTATTATCTAATTTGAGTCAAAATTTATATCATTTGACGCCAAGTATTCATTGACATTTGCTTTAAAAAACCGAGTCTTGTATACATTAATTTTTTTTTAATATTATCTTAGGTACAAAAAGCTGCTTTGAGTGTTGCAATTTTACTTGTAATTCTCTCACTTAATCTATGTTTTCGATGTTTGTTGTTATTTTTGCATGCTGTAATTAAGTCGAAAGAAGTTCAAATACCTGTTCGCGGGTTTAACTCTAAAAATTACTAAAATCCGAGTCGTTTTATAAGCATTCCAATTAACATTCAGCAAAAGTACTTTAAATGGTGACTATGTCAGTACCAATAGTGCTTGCAAGGTTTGGAGAATAAGGTTGCCTTGGAATGCCAAATATCAATGATGTTTTACATACTGATAAGTTGGCAAATTTTATTTGTGCATTTGCGGCATTGAGTTGTTTGTCAGTGTAAATCTTTGTTTTTTTTGTTTGCTATTATGTAAAACTTTCTTGATTGATTGAGATAAAGTGATAAATTAACTTATTACATAAAAATAAAAACAATTGTTTTTATTTTTATTTAAATTTTAAAGTTTATATCGGTAATTTATAAAAGGATTATATGTGCATTTAAATTTAGTTAACAAACAATTAATAAAATGAGTTCAATTAAACAGTATTCTTTTTAACTCATTTTTTTCTTCATAACTTTTTTCGGGACTTGCAGATTTAGTTCAGAAAAAAAAGATTTTTAGATTTTATGAATTATTTTTTAAAGAGAAAAAAAAATTTTTTCAGTATTTTTCAGAGCAGTCGTGGCGCAGTGGTTAGAGTGGCGCACTGGTTAGAGTACTGGCTCAGAACTCAGAGGTCCGTGGTTCGACGCCAGCTTTAGCCCAATAAGCGACATTGGTATGGAAGGAGGCGTGAACTTCTAGTTAAATGCTCTTCCGCGGTGCTCTGTGATAAGACCGTAAGGACATCTGGGAGCACCTAAAATAACTACAAATAAAAAAAAGTATTGTATAGAATTCCTCGCTATACCATACGGTATAAAACTATTTGGTTTTTTTAATAAATTGCAAGCAGCAACTAAGAAGAATACTTATATCGAGGACCATAGCAAATAAGATGAATACTTATATCGTAAACAATTATATTTTATATATTTTATTTCTTATTAAAAAGAGCCGTGTTGGAGTAATTAACTGTGTCGCATTAGTTGCCGTTTGGGCTCAGAACCAAGAGGTTCAAGGTTCAATGCCAGCTCTGTTTAAATAAGTAATATGGGTAAGGAATGACGCGTGAACTTCCTGGTTAAATGGTCTTTTCCAGTGCTTTGTCTCTTGAAACAACTTAACAACTAAAAAAAAAGGTTGTAGAGGTTGTTAAAATCAGAGTTAAGCTACTGAAAATAAATTAAATTTAGGATTTTATTTTGAAGGCGAGATAATCTTAAAAAGGTTTGAGACTGGGTTTGGCAAATGTTTCCCATGTTTGACAAGCATATTTGTTGTTGTTGTTGTTGTTGTTATGGTGCTCCTTGAGGTCCATAGGATTTTATCACAGAGTACCACGAAAAAGCTTTTAAGTAGGAAATTAACACCTCCTTCCTTACCATTATCGTTTATAGCGCTAGAGCCGGCATTGAACCTCAGACCTCCTGGTTTTTAGCCAAAACACTAACCACTGCGCCTAGGCTGCACAAATATCTGAAATAATATTTAAAAACAACATATTATATGTTAAGAGTGTTTCAAGATTAAGATAATTTACACTATTACACATGCGTAGTTTTAGTGCTAAACTTGATAAAAAATTTAAATTAGAATCAATTATATCTTGATATCAAAATTGATTCTAATTTAAATTTTTTGTCAAATCTAGCACCTAAACCTTATATGGCTTTTTTTATTGTTTTAGTAGTTACTTATTTTATTTCTATTTTTCTAAATTTGTTAAACAGTAGGTTTCTAGTATTGGCATTGATCAAACAAAATTATGATGGTGTCTTTGATTGAAAAAGATATAAGGATACCACGGGTTATTCATGTTAAAACTTTGTATGGAGCATGTCGATCTTAGATTACCTCGTCTGTTATATGTACTTCCCAGCTGATATTATAAATAAGGTGTTTGTATCAAAGTTTTTGAAATATCTTCTATAAAATTTAATGTTCTTTTTTTTTACAGGTAATACAGGGAAAAAACATGGCCTTATATTTAGATTGTCGGAGATTTTTTTAGGAGTATAGGAGTTGAAAATATTACCAATGAGAGTTTTTGAAGTTATATGTATTGGAAGAATAATGGTTGCAAAAAGCTAGCGTAAATTTTTAAGCAAAAGAAGGTTCTCTTTAATTATTTAAGTTAATGCTAAATTCACTTAATAATACAATTTAAATAGTAATTTTAACAAATATTTCAACATTCAACTTATTATTACAATTTAGTTAGTGATTTTAACATTTAAACCTAATTCAACTTTTTCATAAAAACTAACGGGTGATTTTAACATACATTTAGACATTCAACTTATTAATACAATTTAATGGGCAGTTTTCACATTTCAACATTTAATTTTTAAAGAAGAGAAGTTAAATAGTTTAAGATTCGTTTAGATTTAAAGATGGGTGAGACGATATATACAACCAATTAAATTATTTTTTTATGAGGATTGACGACTTCAACAAAAATGTTGATTCAAAATGTTTTGAGGCATTGAATACAAGTTTTCAACAAACTACTGCTTAGATATAGTTGAGGACCACCTTTTTTCACTCAGCAAGGCAATGTTCAGTTTTAAATCTATCTATAGCAATATCTGTTATTTTTGAATAAGTTGACAAGCAAAATCTTTTTAAGACAGCTATAGTTTTACTTATATAACCTTTGAAAAGAAAAAGAATGGTTGAACAAAAGATTCTTTATTACACATTACTGTAGACCCCTTAGCTAAGAGAAGAGGTAAGCTTTATTGTTGAAGTGCCATTGGTACCTACCTACCTTGTTGATGTACCTTTACAGGGTTTTAGGAAGACTAATAATAAGAGCACTGCTAGCATATAAAAATGCTAAGATCTTTACTGGTATAGCAAGAGTTTATTAGGAAAGCGCGATGTTTATTTTTCAATAAAAATTTGACATTTTTCGACCTAAGTAACCCTAGTTTTAATGTAGTACATGTTTATATCTTATGGTTATACAACTTTTACTTTTTTCACTTTTCTGACTAAGCGTAGGTTTTAGCTATTCGTGGTAATATACAATAATAACAATGGTCTTTTTATTTTTTATATTTTATTAATATACTTTTTAGTGTTCAATTTGGTCATAATTTCAAGCTTGAATATTTTAAACATCATTAGTTAAACATCATTAGTCTAAAACAGTTTTAAATTTGCATCTCAAGTAATCTTTAATTTATACCCAGACCTCAATCTCGGCAATGTTAAGATATTGGTTATTATCAGGAACTTTGGAAACCATAATAAAGCGAGCACTATTCGAACAGTTATAAGTTTGCTGCCAGTCTCTACTTAATGTTACTATATGTTCATAATTTTCATCGTTTGTACTTGACATCAATTTATAACCAGCAAGTCGTTCAGGATAAACTAGTCTATTAATGATTTTGATTTTGACAAGTTTATATACATATAGCATATCTAATTTAAACCAGTTTATAGGATCCATTTGTGTGCAAGATGCCGTTTGTAAATCGCCGTCAATCGCCATTTCAGGACGATTAGTATAACTATAAGTCGAAGATTGAAATACTTTGCTCCGCTTGGCTACGTTTTTGATATCTATTAAAAAAAAAAAAAACTTTTTTTATTTAATACATAAACTATTTTTATGATGTTAAATTAAATCATATTTTCTTTTCAGACATTTAAACTGTTACTTTAAATTATTTGTCATTTAATATGAACACTGAATAAGCATGTCTAAGATGTATATTTCATAAGTTACCTTAGCTTTACTTCAATTGTTAAAATAAATAAAGTTTATATAAGTAAATGGTTGCCAAAAAACGGGCCATGGCCTCCTCTGAATTTACTAGTTATTGGTATTAATGCTATTAATATTGTTACAATAAATTATTACTATTATTATTATTACTACTATTAAAATCGTAAATAGATGGCATTTTAAATAATTTAAAAATATTACATAACATTTATAAATTATATATGCATAGATGTTTATAATATTAAATATTTTATAGAAATTCTTACTCAGGCAATTGAAGGTATGAAGATTATTTTGACCACAAACATCTCTGCACCACTCGTTACTCATGCATAGATTACTTTGCTCACACAACGGACCAATCTAATTAACAACAACAACAAAAATTAGTAAACTTAAGCAGTTTTTATTATTCGCCATTATTATTATATTATTTTTTTTTTAACTGTTATTTAATAAATATTTGTTAAAAATATTTTCATTGAATACCAGTCTCTTTTTTACTCGTGTACTTTGTGGGCGTTTTTATCATTTGTTAAAGTATAAATTATATACTAATACACAGTTTACAAAATAAAATATCAGTGATGAAATCTTTTTCTTTTTTCATTTTTATCATATTTCTTATATTACACTGAAGCTAAATTGAAAATAGTACTCATTAAAACTAAGCAATTTTGTAAATAAATTTAATTTAAATTCAATTTGTACCCAATTTTTTTGCTATTATTTAAAAAAAATATCTGTCAATAATATTGCTTGATGTTTATATATATATATATATATATATATATATATATATATATATATATAGGGGAAAGCGGGGCAACATGGCGAATGGGGCAAGATGGGTTTTCATATAACAACTCAACAAAAAATCTTAAAACTGGGTGAAAACGAAACTGTATTTGCATCTTGTATTTTAAAACACTAATTGGCTTTTTGAAATATTATTAACGCAGTTTTATACACATAAGTTTACTTTTAGCGCCTAAAAAAAAATTCATCACTTTCGGTTTCTCATAATGGATGGTGCCCTTCAAGTATAACTTCTTTAAAAGTAGTTTTTTGCAATTTTTGTTTATTTTTTGTTACTTTAGTTAGAGTTGTTGGTAGTTTTAAAATTTTTATAAAATTGGAGGTAAAAATTGCATAATAAGTCATCTCGCCCCGGTCACGTGACCAGATGACAAATTTATGAGCTTTTATTTTAATATTTATTTCAAATTGTTATATTTGCAAACTGAAAATTCATGAGGCAATGAAAGAATTTAATAACGTAAACATACTGAGAAAGTATTATGTCTTCACGACTTATAGTTTTGCAACAACTCAGGGCTTTCAAAACGTTCGCCATGTTGCCTCGCTTTCCCGTATATATATATATATATATATATATATATATATATATATATATATATATATATATATATACATATATATATATATATATATATATATATATATATATATATATATATATATATATATATATATATATATATATATATATATATATATATATATATATATATATATATATATATATATATATATATATATATATATATATATATATATATATATATATATATATATATATATATAGAGAGAGAGAGAGAGAGAGAGAGAGAGAGAGAGAGATAGAGAGAGAGAGGAAAGGCGCCTATGATGGCATACCGGTCATATTTTCATAAATATTGGTTATGGCAAAAAGGTGATTAGACTTACATGTTTTTACTGACTTTAATTTAGTTTTAGTAAAAATACGTCCTTTATGCACAAATATTGCTTTTACAATCAACAAAAATTGATTTTGGGATAAGCTGTTGTATTTTTAATCTCTTTATTTTTTTAAGATTGTGATTATATTATTAACTCTGCAAAAATGAAATTTTCATGCATTTTATTTCCGAGTTTTGTGTATTTAGTTAAATACTTATTTTAACTTTATCTTTTGAACAAGGCAGACATAGTTTGTTTAAATAAAAATGATGACTTCTTCCTATGATGCCATACTGAGGGGTTAGGAATGTTGCAATATTGACGAGTTGGGAAAATCTTTTTTTTTTCTTCATAAAAACAACAAATTTGTTAGTGAAGTAAAAAATAATTTTTTCTTCACTAATAATTTTTTGGTTTAAAAAATACATAAACGCAATATCTCCTATACGCATGCGCGAAATTTAACATTGCTGCTGTGTAGCATGACAAGGTAAATTAGGATGATTACGCGTAATTTGTGGCATTTCTGAGAGAAGACTCTAAAGTTAAATGAAATCCTCAAGTTACCCTTGATGCTAACCAACCTCTCTATGCCATCATAGGAGTAGTAGTTGTCTATGATGGCATACTTGTGCTTTTTTTTAAAAAAAGAATAACTAATATAAAAATAAAACTGATGAAAACTCCTATAGTTATTATTGTTCTAGATGTAACAAGGAATGTATCCATATCAAAACCTTTGTTCTTGGTCTTCAGGATACTGAATAATGAAGCTACAAAGTTAAGTATGCCATCATAGGCACCTTTATATATATATTAGAACTACAACTGATATATACGATTGTGATTACACTGTACCTGTGACGGCTAATTTACTATATATATATAAATATATATACACATATATATATATATATATATATATATATATATATATATATATATATATATATACATATATATTCTACACTAAATTTTATTTTACATTTTAGCATATATTTATCAATTTTATGGCATGGTTGCTTGTGCTAGAAAACTATTCCTTACTTACATTTATATCGCTTGTTGTGTTTGTCATCAGTAAATACCATCCTTGTCTTTGCTCTTGCAGTTGTGTTTTTGAAATTATTTCGCATAAATTTTCGTCTGCATTATAATTAGCTACAACACATAAAGAATTTGTCACACAAACTGTTCCACATTCTTCTTTTGATATTGAAAACCACTTTTTAAAAACGTCTCCTTTAAAATACCAATTTGAGACAATATTGAAGTTAGCATAGTGAATACATGGAAGTCGCGTAATAAAACACACAACAGCAGTTTCGTAGCACATTTGACCAATTATCCTATAGTAAATTAATGTCCAATTAAAAACTAAATTATAGGAATAAAGTTTAACGTAAAATGGACTTTAAAAAGAAGTAAGCTTTTTTTTTAAACTTAACTTTATTAAGTTTACATTAACTTACCAATTAATCATTTTGAATTGCATACTACAAAATTTTAAATAGCATATTACTAAAGTTTAGTTTTCTAAATGAAAAAGCAAACTTTTAAAAAAAGTTGAACTAAAAAGTGATGCCATGGAAACAAAAATCCGTACATCCATTTATATTTTAAAAGTTTAATTTGGAATAATGGACAATCAAAAACCTCAGACTTGAGTACCAGGCCTTCTCGTCTTAAAAATAAAATTTAAAATAGAAAACCTTTTGAATAGTTTACCGATAAAACTTGGATATTTAAAAAAACGACACTAGATAAGAAAGGTCACGTCCGAGATCATTGCTAATACGACGTATCATACTTATCCGTGATATTTTTAAAATATCTTTTTTTGTGTGTTCGTGTACGTTTTTTTAAATTAGTCTTAAAATTATTATATGTAGGGGAAACCTACATATAATAATTTATATAAATAACCTATATTATAACAACTACAAAACATAAATTGGAACATAGCATTTTAAAATGAAAAATACAGTCAAATTAACAAAAATTGATTAAAAAATTCTGTCAGACTCGTCTTCTCTATAAGCTTGGTTTATACAGTGAATGTGGGCAAGTTTTAAAATATTCGAACTATTCTTTTCTAACCGCAGTATTTACGTTGTCTTGATGGATAGCATTATATTACGTTGTCTTGATGGATAGCACTGATAGAACTATTAGTGCTGTTCATCAAGATAACCTAAATACAAGTGGTCTACTGGAATTATTAGTTTTATTTGTTAGTTTAATTATAAATTAAAAGATTCCATTAATGATTCTGTGTTGTTACTCATTCGTATTATTAATTTTTTTGATGATCTGACCTCTAAAGTTAATCTGTTTAATGATAACTTCAATTTTTGATTGCATAGAACAGGCACCATTCTTAAATCTGATCTTTCTTTTGTACAAGCAAATTTTAAATGTAAATTTTTACCCAAACAAAATTCAGTTGGTTACTGCTAATAGTTATTATTGATATTTCTGTATTGATGAAAGGTAACACTTTTAATAAATCAACTACTTCACGTCTTCTCGGATTTTTAATTACTACAAACCTCGTATGGAAACTATAGAAACAATAATTGCAAAGTTGGCATCTACTAAAACTGCCTATTTTTTTGTGGTTACTCATGGTTACATTCTTTACCTCTATAAATTTCTAATTCGTTTTTTTATGGAATAATTTTGTCATATTTGATCTGATTATAAGGCTTTTTATAAGGCTTTTTCTTTTTTTTAACAAGGCCCAAAAACGCATTGTAAATATTGTTGGACTTGCTCTAGTTTCCAAATCTCTCTGTCCCATTGTCAAAAGGTTGTATCTCTTTCTTTTTTCTACAAATACTAACATAGCTACTGCTCAAGCGAGTTTTCATCACTCGTTCTATTGATTCAAAATTTTGCGTGACTCATTATGCAGCAAAATTGCATCCTTTTACTGTGGCTGTTTCTTCGTGTTAAAAATTTTTTATTCGTCTATTTTTTTTCTCGTCAGTGCTTTGAATTCCTCTCCCGTCTTTATGTTTCTTTGAAATTCTCGTCTTTATGTTTCTTTGCCTCATACAGTTTACAGTTTTTAAAGTCTTTCGGAAATCGCTTTCTTGCTTATTAAAACTTTTCTTTAATTTCTGTTAACTTTCAACATAGATGGTAGTCGTTATCAGCCTTATTGACAATAAATTCTTTTTAAAAAAAATACTTCCCTTAATATCTACAATGAAAAGAATCTATCTATAAAAAGTAATCAAAATTAAGAATTAGAGAAACATTTTTTTGTTTTGATAAAAATAGTCATTTCATCAGTACTTTCCTTTAGGAAAATCTTTACATCAAATAAATAAAAATCCATTTTTCTAAATATTTTCAGCTCATAAATTTCTCCCTACCCATAATTCTACATCTAACACGAGTTGTATATTAGAAATAAACAGCAAAACGTCAAATCAAATGAATCATATTTATTTTTAATTATAATTACAAACTGAAATTATTAAATCAAAATGCCTAAAAATTTTATTGGATAAAGATGATTTATTATACTGAGTTACTAAATTTATTAAATATGCATAGAAAAAAAATAGTTAAAAAATATGTTTTATGCTAAAACTTGTTCTACCAAGTATAAACATGAAAATACATGCATAGTTAACAGCATGCATAATATTTATACAGTAACAAGTAACAATTAGGTCTTAGACCAGAATTTTTTTATGTAATGAAAAAATATATTACTTATTTGCAATAAGTTTTACTAAAAAAAAAAAAAAAAATTGCATATCTTCGCTCTATATATAATATTACAACTTTTTTTTTACATTTATTATTCATAATATAATACATTTTTTTTTTAACATACATTTATTATAAATAAGATTATTTCTTTTTTTTACATACATTTATTAAACATAAGGTTATACAATTTTTGCAGTTTTTTCACTCAACTCAATATGAATCGGTTAAAAAAATATTTGAGCTTCGGTGAGACATCTATAAATAATTTTTCCATCTTAGTAGATTTTTTTGTCTAACAAAACATTCGCTCCAGATTTTTGTCAAACATAGTAGTCGCTTTAGGTTTTGTTTAGGTTTGCTCCAGATTTTAGATCTAACTGTAATGCATCTTTTCTTAGAATTTTGTTAGAATTTTCTTAGAAGCTTTTTGTTTTGTATTCAATACTTTGGAAGTGTTTTTTTTTTTATACATTCCGCAATTGGGCTTAAAAAGAAAAAAACTACCAAAAATTAAAAAAGAAATTTCCAAGTTTTTCAAGTTTTTTTCAAATTTTTAATGCCAATTCGATTGTTTATTTGTAGCTGGATCTAATATCGATTATTTTAGATTTTTAATTTATTTGATTTAATTATGCTCAATCTCATGCTGACAAAATTTTTTATTAAAACAAACTATTTTGAATATTTCAATTTACTTTATAATAATAATAACTTTTAGAAATATTATTATAAATACTACGATATATTAGTGTAAAGGTAATGAAACAATCTATTAAATTATAAATTATTCATTTTTATTGACAATTAAATTTTAAGTATTGAAACTTTTTGTAGTTTGTTTATAACTAATATAAAACGAAGTATAAAACGAATTTCGCTGCTAATCGCTTGTCGATATCTAACAGGCAATACTTTAACATTAAATTTAATCGCCTGTCGATAGCACGCAATACTTTAACATTAAATTTAATCGCCTGTCGATAACACGCAATACTTTAACACTAAATTTAATTGCCTGTCGATAACACGCAATACTTTAACATTAAATTTATCAAATATGATGTAAATAGTATAGTTCATCAATTTTTTTGTTGAAAAATTTTTTGTTTAATGTTTATAAAAAATATTTATACAAAATAACAAAAAAAAAAAAAAAAAACCGATGACTATCTACCAAAAATGGTAAATATATCTACCATTTTCGCTAGATAGCCAACAACATTTTTACGCTCCCGTAAAATGGCGTGAATAGGAACAGTAGTGTAAATAGGAGCAGAAACCAGAATTTTTTTTTAAATGTCTACATAGTGAGAGAACAGCTGACAGAATTCTATTTTAAAAATGACTCAGGTCTTTAAAATTGGTAAAATTTTGATTTGGCAGTGACATTACATATTGTAGTAAATCAATTTGAAAAATAAACCCAAAAAATTGTGAAATTTTGGCACAGAAAAAGACACTAATGGTGTAATTGTGAAATTTTACTAAATTGTTGCATAAACAACTTGTTAAAACGGTCGGAAATTACAGAACACACACCTTTTCATTTTTGGCGTTTCGGACTAATTTCGGCTTTGCAACTTTTTCAATTGTTAGAAAATAATTGTTGAATTTTTTTTTATTTTATTACTAGTAACTAGAGTTTTTCCTCCTTTTTTTCAATTAAAAAATCTCAATGTTAATCACACAAAATATTGCAATCAGAAAACTGCATCAAAGTTGAATGAAGCCTTCTATTAAGGTGGTTAACCCTAATTCAAATGAATTTCTTTAATAATTGATTTTCATTTTTCACATTACTTATGTTGTATTTTACATTAAATTAGCATTAAAATATATAAATATATTTTTTTTGTGAAAATCTGTCTCATTTATTCAACATTTCTTATGTTTTAGCATATTGTTTAAAAAAGGATTTTTCAGATAGTAAACATTCTTTTGTTAATGTCCTTTGGTATTTCAGCTACTTATATGTTAACCTAGGTACCCTTGCAGTTTTCACATTTTACTGGTATATTTCAAAAGTTATAGACATTGCCATAATAGTTTCTAGTTTTACGGGGTAGGTCTTATTGGGTGATGACAAAAATCAAAACTAATAACTAAGCAAAAATATTTATTCTGCTACCAATCCTCTTTCAATGTATTCTAAACAAACTGGAAAAATTTCGAAGAAAAAGAATAAACCTATCTAGAGGCATACCTTTTTAACTTTATCAGTTTCGCTATAATGTATAACTTTTTAATTCCTTTCAGCTTCTGGCTTTGCTTTGCTTTTGCTGGTAGATATATACTTTGCTTTTAATATATGCAACACCTCGTTTAAATTAGTAGCTTTATTGATAAACCGTCCATTATTTACGCCTCAAGTAAAACTTGACATTAATTACTCTTTGAAAATCATCATTGAATAGATTAACAGTAGAACTCAATGATAATTTTAAAAACCTTTTAACAATATATATATATATATATATATATATATATATATATATATATATATATATATATATATATATATATATATATATATATATATATATATATATATATATATATATATATATATATATATATACATATATATATATATATATATATATATATATATATATATATATATATATATCTTTTCCAAATAAAACCATTCAAGCTTTCGTTACTGTTCAGTATTTTACTGCAAAGACATTTTTTTAATAAATCTTGATTAGATAAATCTTTGAAAATTGGTTTTAAAATTTTGTGAAAGACTAATTAAAGGCCTAATTTTGCATTGTATTTAAATAAGTTTGTTAGTTTATCAGACTGTGACAAGCAGTATA